CCCCGCCTTCGGTTCCCCGCCCCCCAAACCTTTGCCCCTGTTTCTTCCCCCTTGCTCCCCCCCCCTAACTTTCACTCTTGTCCCCCCCTGCCCCCTTGTCTTCTGCTTCTCCCCCTCCCCTCACCACAGCATTCTCTCTCAAAATAATTGCAAATGCTGAAATGAGAGAAGAAAGATAATGTTCAGATAAAATGAAAACTGCAAATTTTGAGGGACTGAATGGAAAGACAGTGGAGAAAGATATGATCACTGTGAGCACTCTTGATGCATGATCAGCAAGTTTTTGAGAAAAGTCTTCTGTTGATTTTCAATTTGTCTGTGTATTGGAGGAGAGTATATGTTTAAGATTGAGGAGCAAAGGTAGAATAGAATCCCCTTGATTGAGAGATCAGTTACTATAGGACATAACTTTCTGCTCCTTATCTTAAATCTTAGAGGAGATATGAGGCAAAACCTTTTCACCCAGAGGATGGTGGGAATCTGGAGGTCACTGCCTACAAGGGTGGTAGAAGCAGAAACCGTCAAACGTTTAGGAACTATCATGATGGAATAGTGGAGCAGACTCAATGGGCCGAATGGCTGATTCCTGCTATGTATTATGGTCATGCAAGGCTTTGGGCCAAATGGTGGAAAATTGAATTAGAATAATTAGGTGGTTTTTGACCAGTGTGGACGTGATGGGCCAAAGGGTGTTTTCTTTTCCTGTGTTGTAGATGTCTATGACTATGATTGCTGACTTCCTTTAACTCTTGCTGTACCCAGTTGCTGGAATTTCGTATCATTAACTTGACAAGCGAAGGTCTGAAATAGCACTTGAGTGCTGATGTGACAATTGAATTTAAGTACAAACATAGCCTGTGAATAGTTCCATATAGTATATAGTTCTCATTCAGGTGTACATTGATCTACTGTTGGACAGTAATGTGCTGTTTGGTACTTAATTTCAGCACCTATGCCATATGATAAATATAGCATTACCGTTTACCTATTTCACTCTTGAGTACCAATGACAGCATGATTCTTGTTCTTTAAATCAATGGATACTAGTTTACAGGAAAGCTTAGCACAATGGTTAAAGTGTATTCTGAGGGTGCATCATGCCTTGTGTCTTTGTACTTTTATCGTATTTAAGTTGCCATTTTGTTGCTCCTGCCTCCAAGCTAACTGATCAGCGTTTGGCAATATGTTCATCCAGCTCTACACCTTGTTATCTAAGTTTACCACAAGTTCATTTCTGGAGAGAAAGTTCACATCCAGTGTTCCCAGTTTTCATTGAAAATCGCAATGCTCTCCTGTAAATATGGTATAAATTCTATGAAGTATTGACTGAATCACCATAATTAGGAGGAGGTTAGGCACCCTTTCTAAATAATCAGCAAACATTATTGCAATTTTTGAAAAACGTGGATGTAATCAAAGGCCTTAAAATGCCGATAAATGTTCTGAATATCTGTGGCAGAAAAATAGACTTTGAATTATTTGGCTAATGTGTAAACCATGTTTTTTTTTTGGAATGGTGATGTAGTACTATCTACATTTAAAGACCCAAATTTATATAGCGCTTTTCACGCCAACTGAGCATCTCAAAATATTCAAAAATATTTTGAATAGTAGTCACTGTTGTAATATCAGAAATATGGCAGTTGGTCTGCACACAGCAAGCACCCACAAATGGGAAAGTGATTGCGGCCAGATAATTTTTTTTGTGTGATTGTTGACTGAGGGATAAGTATTGACCTGAACACAGGAGAAAACTCCCTGGCTGTTCTTCAAAATAGTGTCATCTGTTTTTTAACCACCTGAGAGGGCAACCAGGGTCTCCGTTTAATGTCTCATCTGAAAGACCAAACCTCTAATTGTGCAGCACTCCCCCAGTACTGCACTGGAATGTCAACTTTAATTATTGTGCTTAAGTCCAAGAGTACAACTTGAACCTGAAAAATTTGTTGCTTCTTATAATACAATGTTAAATTTAATTGTTTATTTACGGTCTATTATCAGAGTTAATTTGGAACTCTCTTCCATGAAGGCCAATTGATGCTAGAGCAGTTGTTAAATTTATCTATCTTGGACTAAAATTTTGTTAAGCAAAGATATATTAAGGGATTTGAACTAAAGGCATGTCTTTGAAGTTAGACCACAGATCTGCCATGATCTCATTGAATGGCTTCCTGTTCCTATAATCAACTGGCCCTAGTTTTGATCATTTTGAGGTGACCTGTTACATTTTCACATTTCGCTATAACTGATACCTTATACACACTTTTATACTGCTATTAATGAAGCTGATCTACAGAATAGGCCCTAAAAACTGTCAGCAGAATCCTAACTCTATCCAGATATCAAGGATGTCAGACCTGTCATCTGAGGCATGACCTCAATCTCAGCCAGCCAAGTTACTGGAAGAATTGACATGAGGTCTTAGTCTTTCTGTTTGGATTCAGCATGTATACGTCCCTTCTACTTTATTCAGTTATGATTTTTAACTGAGATTGTTGTATTTTTGAAAGAATTAATAGCTTGCATATCAGAGGAACATATTTCAGTAAATAGCACCAAATACACTATTGGAGTATTAATTTAAAACATAATCAAGCAGTCCTGCAATTAAAACAGAAATTGAATATTCAATTTATACTTGACAGCCATGCTGCCATTTTAAGTACAACAGCAGGGGGCAGTTGTGTGTGTCATCATCGTACACAGGGTACTGTTGACGACATACGTTTGGAGCCTGTTTCAACCAGCAGTTTCACTCTGCAGTAGGGGCAACGAAAGACGCAAATGGTAGATGTGATAGCTGTGTTTATATTTTTATTGAAAATATGAAATAAGTGCATGAGCCTTCATTTATAGTTCAGCTTCACTTTTCATAAGAGTATTCTACAATGATTTATTTTTGTGATAGAAATTATATTTTCATGGGCACGATCTCTCATTTGTTATGATGTCAAGACTGAAATTCTGTTTTTTCATCTGTGGAATCTATGATTGAAATAATGCCAGGCTCGGTGAAAGTATTATATCTTGATTAAAAAGGGGCCTACATGAAATGAGTTTGTGAATGAGTTCAAAGCAAAAGACTGCCCAGTATTCAGAAAAAGGAGCCCAAAAGGAAGGTAGGTTTTGGGAATCTTAAAAAAAAAAAAAAAAAAATGTTTCTTGGGTACTAGGCTCAGTCTACAACACTGGCATCTATTTAATAATGTGTAAAATTAACTAATGTGTCTTGTACACACAAATCTGAACTGGCTAATTGCCACTCCATCAGCCCACTCTCAGTCATCAGCAAAGTGATGGAAGGGGTCATTCAAAGTCCCTTCAATGACACTTTCGAAGGAATAACCTGCATGTTGATGCTCAATTTGCATTCTGTCAGGGTCACTTAGCTCCTGACTTCATTACAGTCTTGATCTAAACGTGGACAAAATACCTCCTCTCCAGGTGAGAGTGGCTGCTTTTGACATCAAGGCAGCATTCAACAGAATATGTCATCATGGAGGCCTAGCAAAACTGGAGTTGGTGGTAATCAAAGCAAAAGTTCTCTGCTTGTTGGAGTCGTATCCAGCACAAAGGAAGACATTTGTTGTTGGAGGTGAATTATGTAAGGCACAGGACATCTCTGCAGGAGTTCTTCAGGGTGGTTTCCTTAGTCCAACCATCTTCAGCTGCTTCAAAACTGATTTTTCCCTTCTTCAGTAGGTCATAAGTGTTAATGTTTGCTGATTGCATCATTTTTATCTTCTCATACTGAAGCATTCCACATACATCTGCAGGGATATCTGGACAAAATCCAGGTTTTATCTGATAAGTGGTTAGTAACATTGCCTGGTACTTGTGTAATACGAATGACCATCACTGACAAGAGAATGTGGTCATTGCCCCTTGAATTTTAATGGTATTGCCCATGCTAATTCCACACTATCAACATTCTGGGGGTTGCCATTAACTAGAAACTGAACTGGAGCCTTTTAAATACTGTGGCTACAAGAACTGGCCGGAGGCTACAGCATCTAAAGTGAGTAACTCCCTTCCTGCTTCCTCCGTGCCTGTCCACCTACAAGGCACAAGTCAGGAGCAGTGTTTCTCTAATTTCTTGCTGCATGGGCCTCCGAGGCCTGTGCATAGCAGTGACTTATGGAACTTGAAGTCAACGTTGCATTCGACATGCTGATACTGATCATTGTCCGTAGAACGTCACAGCGGCTGTGTGCAGCTTAGAGTGAATGCTGGTTAGGAGCATGATGAAGTACCCATTGGACAGAGCAGCTGTTTGATTGGTAGCCCTACCAGCACCTTCCAAACTTGAAACCTGCACTACCTAGAAGAACAGATTCATGAGAACATCATCACCCACAATTTCCTGTTCAGGTCATAGACTATCCTAATTTGGAACTGTAACACTGTTTCTCCATTCACCTGGTTAAAATTCTGGAACTGCCTTCCTAACGGCACCGTGGGTGTACCTACAAACCAAGATTGTAGCGGTCTAAAAAGGCAACTCACCACCACCTTCTGTGTCCACTATGGGCGGGCAATAAATATTGGCCTGGCCAGTGGCACCTTCATCCTGTGACTGAACTAAAAATAGTCTTTTAAAGAGAATTCTACTGATGTATTGGTATTTGAATTTGATGTTAGATACTCATGCTTTATTTCCTCACTGTTGACGTTGATAAAGTAATGGAGTACAGAAATCACCTTAAAAATTTCATTCAAGACTGTATTTTGTATTTTTGTGCTAATTTACTCTCATAACCAATTTCCTGTCAACTTTTTAATCATTTGCTGCTGGTTCCTTAAAAATTCCAATTCTCTGTCCTATCACTAGTTTTTACTACTTTGTATGACTTAGATTTTGATTGGATACTGTCTTTAACTTCCTTGTTGACCAAAAGTGGTTAATTCTTCTCATTGAATCCTTCTTTTTGACCAGAATAAATTCTTGCTGACTGTTACAAAATATCTGAATAAATATTTTCTGCTCATCTTATGACCTTCCCCTTAGTCTAGTTTTACAATTTGCTTTAGACGGTCTTTTTTTGCATATCTCTGTAATTGCCCTTATTTAAATAGAGACTCTAGGTTTGAGACCTGCGTTGCTCTCCATCAAACTGAGATTGAAATTTTACTATGTTGTGATTGCTCCCAGCAGGTTATTAATCCTACCTCATTATACATCTAAAGTAGTCTGTTCCCATATAAGTTGTCCATTTTACTGCTCTAACAAACAATCCTTGATGCATTGTGCCAAAAAGTCTTCCATGTTACCCTTTCCCGTCTAATTTGTGCAGATAAAAATCTCTCATGAAAATTGTAATGACTTTCCTACATGTCTCCATTATTTTCTGATTTTTATGTCGTCCTATGGTGGGGCAACTCTTCACGCGTTTGAAGACAAGTCACACCTGTGACTTTGTTCCTTTGCTATCCCTTATTTCCACTCAAAACTTATTTTGCACCACAAACTGTAGCACATATATCACTACTCACCGCTACGCTGATACCTTCATTAGCAGTGCTACCCCACTTTATTTTTGGCTACCATTTTGGAACATAGAAAACCTTTGAATAATGAAAACCCAGCCCTGGTCACCCTGTAACCATGTCTCTGTAATAGCTGACTAGTCATGTTCATTTATTTCTATTTGTGCCGTCAATTCATCAGTCTTGTTAAAAATGTTGCACACGTTCTGCTACAGTCTTTTGCTTGTATTTCCTGCCCCTTCTTGTCATACTCTTTCTTTCTCCAGTAGTGAATTGGAATCCATTTCTCCTACACCAGTCTTTAAGATACATACTTTCCCTGAAATTTTATTTACCTTATGCCAATTTGCATGTGACTCAGACATTAATTCTAAAATTATTACATTGTGGTTTTGCTTTTTTGTTTAAATTACTCTGCTGGTAATCCCTCAGCAGAATCTCTTTCCTACTTATGTTGTTGGTATCTGCACGGACGATAACAACTGGAAACTTTTCCCTCACCAAGTTCCTCTCTAGCCCAGAGATAGATTGTGTAGGAACCACAGCTTTGGGATTTTGCAGCATAGACAGAGGACACTGCCCATTTCCCCTCTCCTGCCCCCGCCACCCCCAACGTACACACAGGGCTTTGAATGGTGCTTTGGTCAGTTTTCTCATCCTCCCTACAATCTGTGTCCTTGTTCACATCACCAGCACAAACCTTGTACCATTCGGAGAATTGGATAAGCTCACTGGCTGAGATTCCTCCAAAGCTAAATTCTGGATCTCAGTATCTGCCAATCCAATATAGAAATGTTACTTAGCAGAGTTAGTAGTGCAGGTTTGTCTAGGATCATGTGTGAAGAATGGCCATTTGAGTAAAGCTCTGGTAGTCTTGTCTCCAATCTATACCATGAATCATTTGCTTTAGGCAAGGAGAGAAAGAAAATGAAGGAGGCTGTAAAGTGGGCCATTTTGGAGGTGGTGTTAGGAATATTGGCATAGTCAACCTAACACCATATGGGAACATAGGTCATACATATTTCCTGTGGGTAAGAATCTAAACATGGGATGTAATCTTGTGTTTAGAAGTAAGTTGTTTGAGTGAAACCAGAAAGCAGATTTTCAGACAATTGGTGACAGGGGCCTAAATTGCTCACCTTCAAAAGGCTGAGGAGGCCCAGGGTGACTGGTTCACACTTGTAAAGTCTCTAACTTCTTGGTTAAAAACCAGTTTACAGCAATGAATGTGCTGGCTTTCTTCAGGTTTAAGTGATTTTAATTGCAGAGAAAAGAGACAGCTCCTGTTTGGAAATCAGATAGCTTCTAACTAAATATTCACATCCTCGAGCTGTTCAGATACCTGGGACCCAGTCACATCGACGTTAGCAGGCAAAAGACTTTTGTCAAGAGTTATGTGGAACGGTCACTAGTTGTCAATCAGCTATGTATTGCAGGCTGAATCTCCCTTTGTACAGTCTCTGGCTCCAGTTTGTGTGTAGTAATCTTTTTTGCCGTTCTTGGTTTTTTAAACAGTACTTTTCCCATTTCGGTCCTTAGTCAAATAGCCGAAAAATAAAAAGATACAGTCTTTGCACTAGCAGATCCCTAAAAATGTTTTGATTGACAGGCTAATGAGTTTGTTATATTGTGCATTACAAGTAGAGGAAATGTTATCTGGCATGACTGCAGTTTGCCCATTCAATATTTAGTTTCTTTACTCAGAGTGGTCGGGGTGTGGAATGCATTGCCGAAGAGGGTAGTGGAGTCAGCCTCATTAGGGGCATTTAAGCAGCTATTAGATAGGCATATGGATGATAGTATAAGTAGAGGTGGAGGTTAGATAGACCTTAGGTTTAGGGTAAAAGTTCGGCACAACATCGTGGGCCAAAGGGCCTGTACGGTGCTGTACTGTTCTATGTTCTGATGTAGGTATGGATGTTAAAATCGTGGTTTTGTCTTTTTGGGTGTAAATTGCTGAGTTTAGATTGATGTTTGAATCCATTGTTTTTTTTGTAGTGTTGGGATTAAACCCTGAATAGATTATTTAAAACTGAGTTTATTTGATCAGGTGTATTGTAGTGTCAGAAAAAAACATTATTTGTATTTTCAATATAAATGTTGGAAGTCGTAAGTGACCTAAACCTATCGAGATGTTAGATAAAAGAATTCTGGTCAGGGTATTGTATGAGTAATGTTTTTGAAACTGTGCCAAGCTTTATTGTAGTATTGAAGGAGCAGCGTTTAGCACATTTTTTTTGGAGATGCAGTCTTGGATTGGACGTTAGAATGAGCCCCACCCCGCTCCAATTTGAAAAAAGCAGGAGAATTATCCTCAATGCCTTGACCAATATTTATCCCACAATCAACATCATAAAGGACAGGTTTATCTGTTGTTATCGCATCGTTATCTGTGAGAGTTTCCTGAGTCTACATGGGCCGTTGTTTCCTGCAAAACGATAGTGACTATTCTCAAGGAATTTACTTCACCTCAGTGAAGTGCTTTGAGCACTCTGACCTTTTCTGGGCTGCAAGAATTATCTGTGTGCATTGTAGTTTATGGCTGAAGGACTGTACACTGTTGCCTCGATGGGTCTGCAAAGTCTTCAAAACTTTTGTAATACACATCCTGATAATATGCCACCAAAAAAAT